GCTGTGCGGCATGTAGTGTTGTTGTTGTTGGTCATCATAGCGGCGAGCATCGTCGTACATGGGTCGGTTTCTTCCGTACTGGTGCTGAGTCATCTGGCTCATGTACGAAGCATAGTGAGGGTTGGAGTAGTAAGGGTATCCGTAACCGTACGCATGGGCGGCAGCTTGACCAGGCATGTGCTGCGCAGTTGGGGTCTGAGTAGCGGCAGGGAGAGTTGGGTTCGGGGTGTTGTGACCGCTGCTAGGAGCATCAACATGGCCATAGCGGCTGGGAGGCTGAGTGGTGGGAGCTTGGGGCTGCACCTCAGCGCCGGAGACACCGAAACCAGCCGCCGCCCTTTGGGCCACAGAGGCATCCTGGGACTGGCCATAGGTGCCATAGTAGTTGTAAGGGAGGCGCTGGTCAACGGCGTAGAAAGGAGAGTATTCGCTGCCAGATGTGACAGTGGGCTGGACGGGGGCCTGGTTTGCGAATGGCTCCTGCACTTGCGGTTGAGGCTGGGTGACCTGCTGAGAGAACGGGTCGTAAGGCTTCTGGGCCTCGGTGTAGCGGGCAAAATCTGTGAAAGAGGAATCGGCAGCGGAGACTTGTGGGACAGGGGGAAGTCCGGGAGCTGGACGGGAAACGGTAGGAGTCTCGGTGGACGGCTGGACCTGAGTGGAAGGAGGTAGAGAGGCACGAGGAGCGACGGGAGAGTGTTGAGGAGGCTGAGCACGGGTTTCAGCGTTTTCTCTGTTCTCATCAATATCGACATCGGCAGCATCGCCGTTCAGTCCCATGCTGCCAAACTGCACAGCCGCACGATCAACGGCGTGGTTTCCAGGCATGACTACAGCTTCTTGCTGTTCCATGACACGACGCTGCGATCCCGGGGCCCGAGCGCCGGACTTGAATACACTCGAAGGGAAGGCAGCTTGAGCAGCTTGACGAGCGGGGGTAGAGACAGCCGCAATGCTGTTGGCATCAAGGGTGCTGCCGACTGTGCTAGCTGCAGTGGCTGTGGGAGCGGGAGGTGAAACATCGGGGATTTGTTCGAGGTTTGTCTTAGTCAGACCATCCTTGGGAGGAGTGATGTGCGCAGTGGAAGGGGTAACCGGGAGAGCTTCAGCAGGCTGCTTAGGAAGGACAGGCTCAGGTCCTTTCTCGACGGGAATAGGAACAGGAAGAGGGACCGAGACAGGAGCGGGGGCGGTAGCAGCAGCAGGTGCGGGTGCGGGGGCAGGAGCAGGGGCAGATTCAGATGCTTTCTGCTCCGCTACTGGCTCAGCGGCTGGCTGTTGTTCTTCAGCGGGGGCAGGAGCTGGGACAGGCGCAGGCGCAGGCGTAGGTGTAACTGCGGGTTTCTTCTGCGGAGGCGGCGCAGGCTTTGCGAACAAGCTCGCCCAACCTTTCTTGGTGCCATCCGGCATCACATTGGCCTTCGGGGCCTCCTTGACAGTGTCGGCGGTCGTATCGGCGTCGACAGTCGTAGTTTCGACCTCGATCGACTTCTCCGGAACGATCGTTGTCTCCACAACGTCCACAGTGGCGGTGACAACGGGCTTCTCGGCGCGTGCCCCGCTAGCACTGACAGCTCCAGCCCGGCCGCCGCGGCCACCACGACCACGATCCCCGCGGGCGCGTCCACGACCCTCAAATCCGCCACGTCCACGGCCTGAGCGAACGGAACTTGTGGTTGCCTCGGTCGGGGTGCTCTGTGCGTCCTTGGCCTTGGAGCGGTTGCGGTCGGTCGTCTTCTTTTTCACCTCACCCCACTGTGAGACGTTGCCTGTTGAGATAGAATGATCAAAGTCAGAGCCAATTCCAGTGAAAAGTAGATGTAGAGACATGAGATACAACTCGGGGGATCCGTGATCATACCTTCAGTAATGCGCTCAATAGCATCCTCGAGTATTCCGTCGGCATCTTCCAGAGCAAAGACGAGATCCTCATCAGTCCAGTCAGGGAACAATTCCTTCAGTGTGGGCAGATCGTTCGAGTATTTCTTCTTCATCTGACCAATCTCTCCTTCATCTTCAAATGTGGTCTGGTCTGAGGTGTCTGCCTTGGCCGATCTGCTGCCTCCGCGACCACCTCTGGAGCTATAGCCACCTCGACCACCACGAGCGGATACTCTGCCTCGAGAGGCAGAAGGCCGTGTTTGAACTTCAGACATGTCTTCTGGTAGTGTTGATGTATCTCCAAAACGGAGCAATTAAATAATAGAAGAGGAGACTGAAGGAATTTCCGACGTCGACGGTGGGGACGACAAAGTGTGGCTGACCTGATCGGGTAAAAAGAGGTCGTCGGTAGTGGAAATGATCACAGCTGCACCCTCACGAGAGGACAGCACCAAAACCACGGGCACAAGGGCCGCCGAATCCGGGGAACAACGGGGGAAAAAGGGAAAAGAGAAGACGAAGGACGGAGGAGGAGGATAGTTGAGAAAAGGAAAAAAGAATAATAAGAAAAAGGGAAGTTATTATAGACTTGTGGGGGAAAGGAAGCAGTAGAGAGAGTGGGAAGAAGGGAGGAAGAGATTAATTATTGGGACTTGGATCAAGATCGAAATGGCAGGGAACGAGACTTTCTGCTAGTAAGGTAGAGAAGGTTTGGGCCGGCGTGTGTCTGAATGAGACAGCTGAGCCTGAGGCAACAGCCGATCTTTTTGCTCCTTTAGCGAGTAGATAGACTATGGGGGAGGCTCTCTGGGATGATTTCATCATCCACATAGGCTTGAAGCACTCTAATGATTACAGCTAGCTATTCTGTCTCTGGTGGCTATAGTTGTCTAACTGTTTGTATCGTCGTCAATTGAGCTACTATTGACTACTCTAACATCTTAAAACCCTCCTTGATCTCCATTATTGTGGACAACTTCGCCTCTCTAACCCTTTCCTCCTCTTGTGTGGCCAGCTTTGGTTTGGGTGTCAGGAGACCATCCTTTCATTCGCTGCTTCCACTCACCGCCCCCGGTTTTGCACTTTCAAGTCGCTCAGGTGATGTTCGCTGCCTGAGGCTCGGTTGTGTCCTTGTATGCTCCATTTGAACTGCTGAGGGACAGGTTGAGCAAGAGAACTGTGGTATTCCACTCGCAATACAGCTCGTCTATCAACCCCACGGCAGCAGAGTCAACATGAAGGGGTCATCATTGTTCAAATTCAGCCCTTTCGCAAAAATCCATCAACCTCTTCCTCGTACGCCAAGAGAATCAGCGCAATTACTGAACGCCCTTACATCCTCCTTCCGTCGTCAGCTTGATCGAGAGTACCCATCATCCTCTTCAGCCAATAACGATGAGAACGGTGACAATCCTTTATCCTCCGTTCATGCGACGGACAAACATCTAAGGACTATTCTGGAGAATCCTCTTTTCCGCGTCATTCCCTCAAATGCAGCTAGCCCTGCGCACCAATCCGGTCTTGGACCACTTCAGGAGCAGAAACTGGCGACTGAGCCTATGGCTGTCTTCGATGAATTGGTTGCCTCGGGTTCTGTTAATAAGACCGCTCTGTTCAATTGTTTGAGGGCCCAGCTAGTGCTCGCCAGCGCTCATACCGGCGATGGAGTTGTAGACGCGATGAAGAAGTCTAAGGCCGGTTCCAAAATCGTCTCCTGGTGGTACGCATCCGATTCCGAATCCAGGAAAATGCTATTCACAATACGATCTTCAACCGTCACACTCCTCAAATTCATGGTCGCTGAGGGACTACAGAAGACGGCAATGGCCTGGCTGGGAATGGTATTGAACCGTGACCTGGGCGGTGCTGACGGTCGCATATCGGAGGCCATGGCCCAAACCGTGGCTCGCAATTTCCTGCTCGACCTCTTGAAAGCTGAGATTCAGTACGGAGAGGGTTTAGTCTCGGCCATGAGATATTATTTGGAGGCGAGCAGGCTGCCAATCTCTACAGATTACGAGCTCGGCCTTGTTCAATACAAGAAAGCCCTACTAATGCCTGCAGCCGGGTTTTTGTGCCGCGCAGCCATGGAGGATGACCAATCGCAGCTCAAACAAATCCCTCTTGAGATGTACGATGAATATGTGAGGATTATCGCTTCATGGTCTCTCAAGTCGTTACTACTAGCTTGCGTGCCTCTTTTCCACCCGACCCGACCTGACGCTACGCGCTTTGTGCAGTTTACAGAGAGGATATCACGAGTTCGACTCACAACATGGCCCAAGACGAAAAAGGAGAACTTTGTGCTCTATGCCATTACCGCCATTCGTATCTTGGTCGATCAGCAAAAGTTGGCGGAAGCTTCATACTTGGCACGCTTTCTTCAGGAGAATCTACCGGAAAAGATTGGCCAGGAGTCGGCATCCAGCACGTTTGATCAAGTGTCGGCAGAGGAGGAGAATCTATCCAACCTACTCGGCCTGACATGAGTCGCATTGGCTCGCATGTTAACCATGTCGAACCAACGTCCTCAAACACATCAGATGTAGTCCATTGGATTCTGGCTAATTGGGACCATTGGAGTGCCGCCCTTTCCAGTATCATTCATCGACGTCATGGACTTTGACGACGAGGGACGCAATTCACGCGAGGAAGCGCCATCTCGTCCCAACTCGGCAATGGTGCTCCACTCTGCCGCACTAATGCCACCCTACTCCTCTTCTTGGCATGCTTACCTACAACAAAGAACATCAGAAGCGCCGGACTACGCCAGGGATTCAGGCCAGACCCTGTGCTGAGCCCGGAATTGAAGCCTGGTGTTGCGTTACTAAATCTAGCAAATCGGCTAACATGTTGGGGGCGAATAGAACAAATAACCGAGAAAAGGCTAGCGTTCTCGAAGATCTTAGTCAACATCACACGCGCAGTCTCCTCTCCATTCCTTTCACACTTTGTCATCCTTGACCTCTCCTCATCGGTGATACACTGTTCCAGAATCATCTATCTTAGCGATCTCAGCTATAGTGATAATCAAGTCCCTTTTTTCGAGACCATTATAACGTCTCCATTTCAAATTCGTGGACGAAGCCCATATTAAGTACCCATTAATAATCACAATCATGGCCACCGAAAACGACTCGAGCGTTGTAAACGGCGGTCACTCCAAGCAAGGTATGTCCAGGATACAGGGCGCTGTCTGGCCGCCCAAACTAAGCTTCAACCCCGCTCAATTACCACCCTAAGCGTTCAAATAGAGCAATCAGACGCTAATGGGTATCGCCAGAGCCTACAATTCAGACCGAACCAGAAGTCAATCCAAATCAGAGCAGCTCGGAAGGAACCAAGTCTGCTGAAGACTCCAAAGCCGTCGATCCTTCAACTTCTCCAGAACAGGCCCTCGCCGGGGCTGTGACTGACGCTCAACCGCCATCTACCACAGACACCGCCCAAGCAGGAGACAAACAAGAGCACAAACCGTCTTCGGCACCGGCCCATGATGACAAAGCTGTCTCTGGAGAATCCACAAAACCCGCACGCAAGAAGCAAAAAATTAGCAAAGAGAATGGTGTGGTCGAAAACGGTCCACCAGCTACCCCGGCCACCGGTAACTCGACCTCGAATGCCACTGGCAACGGTGAGCAAAAGTCACGGCGCTCTAAGAAAGTGAAAGACACAGTGAAGCGTATAGTTCATACAGATGGTATCGGGAGTCGGACGCGCAGTCGGACCAAGGCTGCAGCAACTTGAGTTGTACTCCTTTGGTTTCCGAACTCTATGTCGATCTTCATGGCCTAATACTGAATGTCTGCTCTGAGACACTCTCTTTCAATTTCCCTTTTAGCAGTCTTAGCAATGATAATGCAAACTGGTACAACTGGTACTCTTGCGTATCCATAGTAAGCACACATAATTGTCAGTTCGATATCTGAGAGTATATATTCTGATTGAGGAAATCAGTAATACTTCAACCCCAGTTGTCAATCTTGATGAGTAATGTTTTGACGTATAAACGAAGTCGTCTAGAGCAGGTACAAGCACAATTATCATAACGGAGCAATCCCAAGACCTGTTGTATATCAACCTTTCTTGAGAACAGCCGATATCGGTTGAGGCGTTGTTAATTAGGTTTACCCCAACCCCTCGCTGAGTCACAGCCACGGAGCGGATCAATCGTTATCACTGGAGGGGATTGAGAGTGTGTCATAGCTCCAGTAGTCATCGTTTTAATTTCACTTTCCATATTTTGAGATCTCGATTTTTCCATTCAAGAAAAATCAATTTGTCTTCGAGCACTCATCAATTGAATTCCACAGTCATGTCGAGCAATAAGATCTGGTTGCGCGCTGAAACCAAGCCCGCCGAGGCTCGGTCTGCTTGTGAGTTCAACATGTTCTTGCCAAAAAGACCCTGTTCATCATGGCATTTTCAATCCGTCAATCTTCGAATTGCATTTGCTAATTGTATGGAATGTAGTGACCCCGACTACCTGCAAGGCCCTCATGGATGCCGGCTACGAGGTGACCGTGGAGCGTTCCACACAGCGGATTTTCGACGGTGAGAATAACGTCCCCTGGTTCCTTCTCAGGGCCAATGGCTAACAGAACTGGCTTTGTGACAGATAAGGAGTTTGAGCAGGTAATTTGAGATTCGCACATAATCCCTTCTTCGGACGACATTCTCACGCACTAGTTGTACAGATCGGCGCTCCCCTCGCCGAGGAAGGTTCATGGGTTAAGGACGCACCTAAAGATGCCTATGTACTGGGCCTGAAGGAGCTTCCCGAAGACGATTTCCCCCTCGAGCACGTTCACATCTCCTTTGCGCACTGCTACAAGCAACAGGCGGGTTGGGAGAAGGTTCTCAGCCGGTGGCCCCGCGGAGGCGGCACTCTCTTGGACTTGGAATTCCTCACAGATGACGCCGGACGCCGAGTAGCCGGTAGGTGACAACTGTTTCTGCCTTGAATGAATGAAATAGTGTCTGACTTTCACCTTCAGCTTTTGGATACTCCGCCGGTTATGCAGGTAAATTATTTCGGTTTGCTATGCGTCGCATATAGGGGAATGCTCACATTATGCACAGGTTCTGCTTTGGCCATTAAGAACTGGGCCTGGCAATTGACACATCCTGAGGGCGAACCCCTTCCCGGCGAGACTCCCTACGCAAACCAGGACTTGTTGATCGAGTCAGTGAAGGAGTCGCTGGAGTCTGGCAAGAAGCTGTCTGGCATGTCGCCCAAGGTACTTGTCATTGGAGCTGTGAGTGTGCATTCGATGAGCTGAGGTTTCCTCATTGTACTGACTAAGTCTAGCTTGGGCGCTGTGGCAAGGGAGCCGTTCAGCTGGCCAAGGATGTCGGCATTCCTGAGTCCGATATCATCCAGTGGGATATGAAAGAGACCAAGAAGGGTATATGTCTTCATTTTCACCTGCAGCTAGTGTGCCTGCGCTAATCTAGTTTTCCAGGTGGTCCCTTCAAGGAGATTGTCGAGGATGCAGACATTTTTATCAACTGCATCTACCTTTCCGCTGAGATCCCTCCTTTCGTCAACACCGAATCTCTCTCTTCTCCTAACCGCCGCTTGTCTGTCATTTGTGACGTGAGCGCCGACACGTATGTTGCTCTTTTGGACTCTTGAAGATAAAGGACGTTCTCGCTGACATTCTGGTCTTGTCTCCCTCAGGACCAACCCCAACAATCCTATCCCTGTCTATTCCATTACAACCACTTTTGACAAGCCCACAGTGACTGTTACTCTTCCCGAACGGGCCCAGGGCCCTCCATTGAGCGTGATCAGCATCGACCACCTCCCCTCCCTCCTTCCCCGTGAAAGCTCTGAGATGTTCAGCAAAGACTTGCTGCCGAGCCTACTGCAACTCAAGGACAGAAAGAACGCTCGTGTCTGGAAGCAAGCAGAGGATTTATTCAACGAGAAGGTTGCCAGCTTGCCCGTGTCGATGCGCGCTTAAGATTGTTTTCTCAACATAGCCTTCCGCGAAAGGCCCACCACATTGTGAATCTGGATGCTCTCTTGACTCTCCCAATCTATGGGCTGATCTCTTGGGGGAAGCGATGACTTTTGTATATGCAGTAGTGTGTCATGAATCTCTGTTTAGAAAGACTACTACGATAGATTGAATCAATGAAAAGTTCTTGTGAGACAAAATAAACTGTGTTCAAGCGTTTTCGAGAATTGAGTCTCATATATTCAGTCAGACAGACGATGATAAAAGCTAAGTCATTCTAATTTGAAGATTTTCCTGCTCTATCATCAACTAAAAGCGCCTGAGTATCTCGGTTATGTTGAAGTGAGAATGCTAATCTGCTTTATTTGCGCCTTACTTCATGGTCACGTTTCGATCATGCCATGTCTCTAAGGCTTAGATCCAGCACTATCAAAAGGGACACCATCACCACCCAAACCACACTTGAGTTACCAATTTTGTCATTCAAACTTCTTCAGTCCGGCTGATGGAGTCTAACAAGTGGACAATTATCAGGATTGCGCATTGGATCATCAGGCCCTATTGACGATGATCTCCTTACCATTTGCTAAGGGGCATTATGGTCCTGCAGATCTCGCTGTGGAACACCACTTAACTAACCCCGATGATCTCATATTGGTCCACGAAGTCCTGGAACACTGGAAGCCATGGTATCCTTGAACATGCTCCTTTTTTGTAGTCGTCAGGCCGACCCAGGATCTCCAATGTGGGGGTTCCGGACGCTGTTGATGGTCGCTTGGCGTGGAAGGTTCTCCGGACGGACTCGGGAGTGAAGAACGAAGAGCGAAGACGACGAAGATTGATCAGATTTCAGCATTCCCTTATCCTGTTGCCTGGATATTCATATATGCAAGTCGCTCTGGCATGATTATCATTCGAATGTTCCGACGACATGAACGATTATTTAAGCAGTTTATAAGCATGCGTGAGTGCCCTTTTCTCGCCTTCAACCCCATTGTTCGGATTCCTCTCCACAATCCACATACTCGGGTGCTACGTTGTGTATGGGGAAAATCTTATCTGACGGACGATTATCCGCCCATAGCCGCCACCCAGAAACTGTCATCTTCATCCTGAATATTATCATTCGACAGAGAAATTGAACTACAGGAGTTGAAGAAAACTCATCGACATCCTTGTCCTGCCGTTAGGTTCGCCATTGGCTTTTGGAGTGGCTCGCCTCCGAGTCAGAGTCGAACCTCAGCTTCCCCGCGCGCCGCCAATGGAGCAATGATCCTGGCGACGTTCGTGCATTCGAAAGACATCCTCAGCCAATAGCACCGATAGGAGGCTCTCGCTGCTCAACAGCAACGCAGCTATGCAGGAAAAGTCGACAACCATCGCCGCATACGCAGCCGGAGCATCCCTCGCCGCCGTGGCCCTCTTCTACGTCTTCGGACCAAACTACACAATCGATGGCGACGACTCGAACGACAGTAACCGCAAGAAAAGCATTGTGGGGCTGTCGAATCCGGCGAACGACTGCTTCATCAACTCGGTTCTTCAGGCGCTCGCGGGCTTGGGCGATCTGCGCGTCTACCTGATCAGGGAATTACATCGGCGTGAATTGGATGGACCGGACATATATAACTCACTGCCGGAGGCAGATGAGACGTCGCGGGGGATGAGACCCGAGAGGGTCCGGGAACTACAGCAGGGTACGATCACGCGAGCTTTGAAAGAGATGTTGGACCGATTAAATGAGCGTCCAATCTACAAGAAGACTATCACCAACCGGGCTTTCATCCAGGCTCTCGAATACGCTTTCCGTACTCGGATTAGCCGCAATCAGCAGGATGCGCAGGAGTTTCTTCAAATTGTTGCGGAGCGTCTTTGTGACGAATACCATGCCGGATTGAAGGCACGACAGCGTGCACAAGGTTCTCTTGCAGCGCTGCCAGGCTCCGGTGGCGGGGAATCTATCCAGAGTAATGCTCTCGAGAAGGGATCTACTGAAATCGAAGTGCGGATTGACGATGGATCTGAGACTGGCCTCCCGGCAATCATCGACAACAAATTGAAAGAGATCGACAATGAATACGGATTTCCATTCGAAGGACAGATGGAATCGCAGATTGAATGCCAGTTCTGCCACTATCAATACAAGCCGAACAAGACTTCATTCGTGAACCTGACGCTACAAGTTCCTCAGAAGAGCTCGACCACCCTCAGTTCCTGCTTTGACGGATTGCTCAAAACAGAATATATCGATGACTTCCGGTGTGACAGATGCCGGTTGCAACATGCCCTGGATGCCAAGATGGTAGAAATGAACAGGTCTCATTCCACAAGAGATCGGGAGCGTATCGAGCAAGAGATCCAGCTGATTCAACATGCTATCGTTACAGATCCTGAGAATCCTCCCGAAGGAGTCAGCCTTCCTCCAGCGGATCTCGCACCGAAGCGAAAGATTGCTCGCCATATGCGCATCACTGTTTTCCCCAAGATTATAACAATCCATCTTTCGCGCTCGATCTTTGATCGCAGTAGTTCTACGAAAAATGCCGCCAAGGTGTCCTTTCCTGAGAGGCTCCCTTTGGGTGGAATTCTGAGCCAGAAGTGGTTCAAGCTGCTGGCCATTGTCTGCCATAAAGGCAGTCATAACAGTGGCCACTACGAATCCTTCCGACGTAACAACCTCTACCCACCTTTCTCTACTCCGGATGTCTTTAGTTCCTACGCGCAAAGTCGGGCGACCAGCGTCAATCCCTCTACTGCACCGAGTCCTCGTCTCACGGCTCG